GTCTACACGTCTTTTAAATACCTCCAGGGATGGTGACTCAACCCCTTCCCTGGGCAGCCTGTTCCAATGTTTAACCACTCTTTCGGTAAAGACATTTTTCCTCACGTCCAATCTAAACCTCCCCTGGTGCAACTTGAGACCATTGTGTAGACGCAAAAGGTATGTAACCAAGAAAGAATGTAAAAAAGCATAAGGAAACAGCCAAGAAAATGTTTGTGTGAGCTGGCATTGCTGCACAGGCCTCAGGAGAGGGAATGAAAAAGTCCCTCAGTTGCTGTGAGAAATGCCCGTGCTGAGGCCACGCACTGTCACCGCTCTGCTCTGCCACGGTGCAGACAGCTGTGCCTTAGAGAGATGTTTTTTGGGGCATCCTCTGGCCCCACCACCCTGGCAGGGCCATGGTGGGGGCAGGGGCAGGCTGCTGCTCCTCCCGCCAGTGTGATGTCTTGGTTTTTCCTTCCAGTATGGGATGGTGTTTGATGCAGGCTCGTCCCACACCTCTCTGTTTGTCTACGAGTGGGATTCAGACAAGGAGAACGACACTGGTGTGGTCAGCCAGACCTTGTCCTGTGATGTCCAGGGTCAGTATCCCCCTGCCATGGGCTTGGTGCTGCCCTTCGTGTTCATGTGGTGGGTGGGATGACCTGGCCCTTCCTTTTGTTGGCCTGCCCACGCTGGGCAGCTCTGTCCATCAGGCTGTTACTGCTGGCACGGTGGGGAGCCCTGGCTGCAGGGTGGTCCCTGACTCCCCACTGGCTTCGCTCACGGTTGGAGGGTCCTCAGCACCATGTAGTGCCCACACGCTTGGTGGGACTGAAGCACCTTGGTCTTGCTCTGGATTTTCATTCCTCCACCTTGGACTGCCCCCAGCTGCCCAAGCTGCTGTCCTGGCTGGGGAAGGTCTCATCCATAGAGCTGGGGACACTGCTGAAAGCACGGGAGATGTGGGGAAGCCATAGGAGATGAACGTAAGCATGGGTCAGTCAGGTCTTGGGGGACCAGGGGACCCTGGCAAAGCACCCTTTGTTGCTAAGAGGTGACAGACCTCGCTGCCCCATGTCCTCTTGTTCCCACATCTCTGTCCCCAGCCGTTCCCCTCAGCCTGCCCCAGCTTGACTCTCTTCCAGGGCAAGGCATATCGAGCTATGCCAATG